CCTCTCTCCCCTCCCTTTTCTTCCCCTCCATTCCTCTCTCTCTAAAAAATCAGTAGACATATCCTCAGGTGAGAATAAAGAAAGAAAAAGAGAGAAATAGGAAACATGTGGCATGAAGCATGGAAATAAATGTAAGAAACATAGAGAAGTATATGAAAATTTTCAAGACCCAAAGATAAGAAAGTGGTGATATTCTGGGAAACTTAGTGGAACTTTTTAGTTTTTTTGTTTGTTTTAATAGACTTTACTTTTTAAAGCAATTTTAAGTTCACAGTAGAATTAAGGGGAAGATACAGAGATTTCCCATATATCCCCTGCTCCCCTACCACATGCATAACCTTCCCCATTATGAGCATCCCCCAGCAAGTGGAGATTATTGAAAAAGTGTTTCCTTCCTTCCTTCTTCCCTTCCTTCCTCCCTCCCTTTCTTTTTCTTTCTTTAATATAGAAGCTATCAAGGAGCTAGTAAAGATTCTGTAGTGGGTAAATGAATATGAAATGATTACAGAGTTTTTGGAGTGAAGCAGGATGGTATTTTTAATTTATTAGATAGGTTATACACAGAGAGCCCAATAATTTTGAGACTACTCATTAGCCAAGCTTTTCTGATAATTTTCATGGTCTGCCTCAAATAGGATATATTCCAGCAGATAACTCTTCAAAACTATGTTTGTTTTCATAGCAAAGATGGAAGATAATTTGCTTTTTTAATAGGAGAAGTAATACTACCAAATTACATAAATTGAAAATAGTTTTTTAGGTACCAAGTGAAGTAAGCTAAGCAGAGAAAATAGAGAAGACTCTTCATTGTGCTTGGGAAACAGTTTCAGATCAGTCTTAATTATGACATTTTCATATGATTGACTAAATTATAAATATATGTGTTTTATTTGGATTTTATAATAACCACAGCACTCTTATTTTCTATGAATTAATGAAATATTTTCACAGATATTTAATCTCATTATAAGGAATAAAGAATTTAAAGCACTATTCTTATTGTTGCCTTCTTTAGCCACGAGAGCATTTTGTACTGTTTTGTTTTTGTCTTTTTTAGGTTTAAGTAACATCATCAGATATCAGGAGGCAGTACAGAGTAGTGATTAAAAGGAGTCAGATAGCTTGAGTTTGAATTTCTGTTACCTTGCATAAATTTTGTAACCTCTGTATGACAGTTTTCTGATGTATAAAAATGTATATACTCCATATACATGTCATGAGCATTAAATAAGGTAATACATGTAAAGTCCTGCCACTTAGTATGCACTCAGCAAATGTAAAGCAGTTGTCATCTTCAGACTTTACAGTTGCTTTTTCATGCTGAAGTGATAAGAGGTATGGCAAGATATTTTTATCTTAAGAAACATGATAAACCTTGATGGGGGGTGGTGGTGGTGACAATTCCTATTCTTAATTTCTGGAAAATGTTTATGAATATATTTAAAGCATTCTACTTTGTCAAGGTTGGTTTTTATTAATTTTTTTCCAATTTAGTTTTTTTCAAATGACCCTCTTAAAAGGGGGAATGCAATCTCTGTGAGGAATCCAGCAGTGTTTTCATGTTTTACATAGCAATAGAGAAGTCTGGGGAGGTGGGTTGGAAAGAATAAGGAGAGTTGCTTTCCCTAGGTAGAGATAAAACAGTAAAAAAGTGTCAGTAGAAAGTAGTATGTTAGATAATAAAGTTCACAGAGTGCCCAAAAAGTCTGGCACTATAACATAAACTTGTTTTCAAATAATTTATTAGTTGTATTTTTAAATAATAGCTTCTTCAACTTCAGACTCCTTTTTAGTTTACATTCCTCTAAATTGGAGGCAATGGGTTCAGTTATTAACCTGAAAAAAGTATAATAAGCCTACACTTTTCTCTGTGTTTTTAGATTTTTGGGGGACTCTGTAGTGTTCCCTATAGACCAAGACAGGATATATAGAAATGCAGAGCTATAAAAACAAAACTGTTTAATTAGACATCTACAAGTTACTGTATTTTAATTAATAAAATGACTTAAAATATGGATGATTACCACACAAACAGTACTTAAAAAAACATGTATGGATAATACAATAAATATTAAAAAGTTTATACATTTAGTTCAGTCAGAGCCTTGTTAAGATTACTGTCATTAGATCTCACCCATGTGTAATGACTAAGACCATAGGTGGTTAAGATCATAGTACATAGGGTCAAACTGCCTGTTTTATACTCTAGCTTTACCACTTATCAGTTGTGAGACTGAAAATTTTTTTATGTATCTCAGTGTTTTCATCTATAAAATGAGGGAACTAATAGTATTGGCCAAAGAGGTAGGCATGTCTTTAATAATTTAAGTAATAACTCTGTTAAATTATTGTAGGCTTATGCATTTGATGTCTTTTTTAATGCTCCCAAGATGATTGTTCCCAAATCATCAGAAAATGGACAGATGCTTCGTGTAATTCCATCTACCCAGACAGAAATGGCACAAGTGATTATACCTCAGGGGCAACTTGTGGATATGAATAGTCCTCGGGGTGAGTAATAATGGGACATATTACACCTCATGAAAGTCAGTGCTAAAATTGATTTCTGTGGGTGAGGTTGTGAACTGAATAAGTAGACAAAGTTTCTTAGCCCAAATAAATTTTAAGTTCATTTTTCAACTCCTGTCTAGGTTAGCTGTCTATTTCATTTTGGAATTCTGTGAAGCTGGTTGACTCTTGCTTCCTCCTAAATGACCAGTGAGCATAAAATAAATTCTTCTTAATTATGATAACAGTAATAATAACAACAGCAGTAACAAGAACATAGTGCTAATAGCTACTGTAGAAGATTTTACATTTGTGTTTTTGTCAATATTGTTGTTAGTTGTGTCACTTATTACTTCTTTTTAGTGATTCTTTTCATCCTCTTTGCTCTTTTTCTTCTTTCTTTGTTCCTTCAGGTTCAGAAAGGAGACTTATATATTCCCAGTTTCTTTTTATTTTTCTTTACTTATTTAATGATATCACTGTTCTATTCCTTCTGCTTTCCTAGGTTTTCCATCTATTTGAATCTCTTTTCTAACATCATAGCTACACTCTTTTGTCGCTTGTTCATAGTTAATGATTTAGGGTGGATATTTTTACCTTAATGTTATGATTCTTTGTCTTTGTTAACAGTTGCTGAAACATAAGGAAAAAAACATAGTTTGCAGAAAACATAACAACATGGTATAGAAACAAAAAAGATCAGTTTAACATTTTCCTGTTATATTGTGAAACTCTTAATACATATAACAATTACTTCTACCACTTTCTTTTTTAATATATCTTTATTGATTTCAGAGAGAGGGAAGAAGAGAGATAGAAACATCAATGATAAGAGAATCATTGATCGGCTGCCTCCTGCATGCCCCCCACTGGGGATTGAGCCCGAAACCAGGGCATGTGCCCTGACCGGGAATCAAATTGGGATCTCCTGGATCGTAGATTGATGTTCAACTGCTGAACCATGCCGGCTGGGCACTTCTACCACTCTTATATTCTAGCTGTTCAATATAAGTTCCAAAAACTTAATTAAAGAATTTTAGTAGTATTATCATTGGAAAATAAACAAGTTTATCAGATAAATTCTCAATAAAGCATTGCAAGTTTTGTTATCTTTAGCTTCAGAACATATCTTCCCTTTCCTTTTTCAAATATGTAAGTTCTAGTTGGTTATATTCTCATGGTCTTATTCAAGATATTGATACTGTTTTGTTCTTGTTCTTGTGGTTAAGATACCTCTGAAGAGAAACCCAGCAACAGAAACTTACCAACTGTAAGAGTGGATGCTCTAGCAGACCATAGCAGTAGTTATATTGTGCATCCACAAGCATCCCTCACATTGCCCCAAAAGACAGTGACCAGGTGAGTCAGTGGGAAAAAGGAGCTCATCTTTTGTTATCACCATGAAAATACTTTAAAAAATTTTTATATCTAAAGCTGGCTAACTATGAAAAAGATCAGAAATTCAGGAAATACAATAGACTCTTATGAAATACATCTTTATTTTAATGGCATCTTGGCAACAAAGAAGCTACTCTAGAAGATATAAATTCCAGAGTTTTGCTTTTCCCCAGTGACACTCGCCTGTGATATTTTGAAGCAACCTGAAAATATCTGACTAAGAGTTTTTAGAATGAAGAAATACTTATTCTAGTTCCTAAAATTTTTAATGGTCTCATCACATTTTTATGCATTTAATGTTGTAAAGTGTTTAAAATGTGTTTTGTTAACATCTTTTTCAACTTTTATTTTTCCCTTACAATGACACTTTATAATAATTTAGGGAAATGTAGACATGGTTTTGTATTATTAACATTTTTTAATTGTAATATGAAAATATTTTGAAATTAACACAATACTTAAGACCTTTAGTCTTAGAACTTGACATAATATCATGAGGTTCTTAACAAGTCACCTGAAGATGTTTTATTAGCTAATTTTTTTAATAAATGGAAATAAGTATATAATGAGAAGAGTATAAAATAAACTTTTAGAGAGACAGATAAAATACTTGAATTTGTTAGAACTACAGGTACTTGGAAGAACAAATGTGGGCCTTTGCATTAGCAGGTATTAAAATAATCGTGATTAAAGAAAACTAATTAATATAGCCATCAGATCAGTCTGTCATTATTATTACATTTTCTTATTGATGACCTCAGTATTTTATCTTTGACACTGCCTAAAAGAATAAAGCAGTTGAATGCCATGTGTATGTGTAACTTGTAATATGTATTTAAATATATTGTTCCCCTGTCCCAGAATACTTGAAGAACCGTTACTGGCTCCTCTCCAGCCACTTTCTTCTAACACTCCTATATGGGCCTGCCGTCTTAGGAGCTGTGAGGTGAGTTAAAAACAACCCTTACCTAGATTCACTTAAGGAGCTATGGTTTATCCCAAAGTATCCACTTTTGAATACAACTGACAGAAGCTGTATCTGTAATACTTTGTTCATGTTCTAAATCTGATCTCATCTATTCTTTTATTCCTTAGAGATTGTACACTCTATTAAAGCAGAGATCATATAAATCTTCTCACCTCACTATTATTTCGTCCCTTGTCTTTCATGAAACTTTGCGATCATGTTTCTCTTTCTTTGCTTGTGCTTATTTATTTTCATATTCTGGGTGGAAATTCTTCAAAGTTCACTGTTTGACCTTATTTTATTTCTCTACTTTTTATCCCTTGTAGAGCTTATCAACTTTGTTGACTTTCAGCTATCACTTTTATAAAAATGATCCCCAAATCTATATCACTAGTTCTTTCTTTTTTATTTAATTTTATTGATACTATTGGGGTGACATTGGTTAATAACATTATATAGGTCTCAGGTGTACAATTCTATAATACATTATCTGTATATAATATTGTGTGTATACACACACAGAGACATATACGTATTTGTCTCTATTCTAAGCATCTACATTTAAAAGGGGAAACCAAGTTAATTAGTAAATTCTGTGTTCATTAGATAAAAGTAACTATGCTAATTTCCATAAGCTAAGAGAAAAACCCGTTACTTATTTTTGGTACTAAGGTCAGATAGGAATTTCTCTCAAAGAAGGATCTTCACGAAAAGAATCTTGATATAATGAACAAATTCCTTCACATCATTTTTATATTAGATACATCACAATTTTCAAAGGTTTTCAAATAGATTCATGGCATCATATCAAAGTCAGTTTCAGTTAAGAAGCCCACAGGGATTCAGTGCATTGTGGCCAGTTTTATGCTGATTTCGTTGGATACAGGGATAGAGTTTTAAATATCTGGAAGAATGGATACATGATATATTCTTCAAGTTATCTTCCCTATATATTATTTGTCTCAAATAAGAATTTGATAGTGTGCCAGTGAGTTTGGCATTCTCTAACAAATACCTGGACAATATCTATTTGGTGAACTAGTTGAATTCAGATCATATCCACTGGTTGTAGTAGACCATTGATCTGAAAGGAGGAATGACATTCTCTTTTGAGAGCTGATGAGTCTTTCATCTTGGACAATCACATTATTACATTTTTTGTACAATGGAACATATTTGCTAATAATTTTGTTATTTAATTTTACTGCATGCAGAAAATTGGAGATTCATACCGGGGCTACTGTGTAAGTGAGACTGAATTAGAAAGTGTTTTAACATTTCACAAGCAGCAAACACAGAGTGTTTGGGGCACCCGCCAGTCTCCAAGCCCAGCCAAGCCAGCTACACGTTTGATGTGGAAATCCCAGTATGTCCCATATGATGGAATTCCATTTGTCAATGCAGGTACTTTTTAAAAGAAATATTTTAAAAGGTTCAGCAGTATCCATGATCCATTGTGAAACTGTGGTTTTTCTAAGGTGATACATTTTCATTTTGGTAGATGATAACTAAATGTTAATTGATAAAAATGTATATTAAACTAAAAAGAAAACTTATAGTAAATATAACCAATTTTTTATGTTTTAATGTATTCAATGAATCATGCTTCCTTTGATTATTATGCTGAAAATAGAAAAGAAAAATATTGAAATTCCAGGTAGACCTGTTTAATACAAATTAAACAATAAGCAATTTTATTTTAAATATATATATATATCTTGGGTTTTGTTTTTTGTTTTTAATCCAATCCATATATTCTCTTCTTCTCTTTTGGTTTGTCTTGTGCAAATTTATGTCCGTTTTATATAACTTAGAACTCTTGAGTTACTATATAGAATTGTACACAATCAAGAGTTATATAGAATTTTAATATTAGGGTTCTCAAGCATCAGGTGTATTATATATCGTATTCTCAAACACTAGTGTTTACTAAAGCAGTAGAGCTTCAAACAATTCCCAGAGATTCATCCTAGGACCAGTCAGACCCCACAGAACCTAAAAATAAGTGATTTATTTCAGGGCTATGCGGGTACTGATTCAGCTGGAAGAGTTGCAGCCTCATCCTGGACCTCTGAGGGTAAAGAGAAACACTTAGAGGAAGATAAGATAAACGTAACTTTTTCTGCCCAGGTTTATCGGTATTCTAAAAAGAAATGCAACATTTTTTTACATCCCTGGTTCTAATCCCCTTCTTAACTCTTCACAAGCAGCCACTATATAAATTTGGTGTGTATCTTTCCAGTCTGTTTTTATACTTTATTATACATGTTTGTATGTGTAATATATTTTGTCATTTTGAATATTTAAAACTACATAAATAGTAAACTATAGACATTATTATGTAAATTATTCACTCACCCTTATTTTTGAAATCTATCCCTGTTGATACTTATGGATCCCAGTTAACTCAATGTCATCATTATATAACAGTCCAGCATATGACCAAACCACAATTATTTTTCTATAAACAATCATCTAGGTTGTCTCCAACTTTTCAGTATTATAAAGAATACCATAGTCAGACCTCCACAATGTACATTTTCTGTTGAAAAGATGTAGTTTTTCTAGTGTACATGCTTTGAAGTGGAATTACAGAGTTGTGAACTATGCCCATTTCATCTTTACAGGATTTTCTCAAATTGTTCACTAAAGTGGTTGGTTGTACAGGTTCAAAAATCCCTTCTCTAAATTGTTTTTGGCCAGATGTGTTTTAGAAGTCTGAATTTTTGGACTGTAGTAATGTAATATTACAAAATACTTCTAGCATGTATTCTGTAGACAATAACACATAATCAACACACACTAGTATTTTATGGATAGTCACACTAAAGAATAAATGGAGACTATAAATAGCTTTGTAAAGTTCAGGCCAGGTTTTGGAGGTAAATGGCTTCCAAAAATTTTTGTTACCTCCCTGGAGAACCAGGGGGGAGATTAATCAAGGAACTTCTATGTTTATAAGCATAACCCATGGACACAGACACGGGTCTGGGGAAGGCCTAGGGGTGGGGTGGATGTGTGGTGGAGGGATTAATGGGGGTAAAAAGAGGACATCTGTAATATTTTCAACAATAAAGATAAACTTAAAAAAAACCAAACTTTTTTTTGAGCTTTTTAGATTCAGAAACGTACACGAAGAATTGATGACCTGTACCAATTTTTAATCCTTTCTGAAATGTATGAAAATTTCCCTTTCCCCTATTCATTCTATGATTTAGTATTGTGATTCTTTTAAAAATATTTATATTATGAAAATTTTCATATGTATATCAAAGTAGAGGTAATAATATATGAAATCCCATGACCCCATGTATCATCATCCAGCTTCAACAAATTGTCTCATCTATACCCCAACCCACTTCCTCTGTATGTCTATAAAAGACAAGGACTCTCTCTCTCTCTCTAATATATATATATATATAGGGAATCCCATTATCACACTTTAAAAGAATTAACAGTAACTTCTTAATGTCGTAAAATGTCCAATGTTCACATTTCTTTATCTCATAATTCTTTTTTCATAGGTTTGTTCAAATTCACATCCAAATAAAGTTCATAGATTATAACTGGTTAATATAATATATCTCTTAAATTTATTTTCGTCTAAAAATGTTTGTCCTGTTTCCCCCCAGATAGTTTGTTCTGTAGAATTTGCCCTATTCTGGATTTTGTGATTCCATCTCTGTGGTGTAGTTTAACATGTCCTTTTATCTCCTGTACGTCCTGTAAACTGTTAGATCTAGAGGCTTGACTAAATGAAGACTTAATCGTTGTAAAAGTATTTATTGTTACTTATGTGTAACACCTTTTAGTGATGTTAAGATTGATCAGTGGAGCCAGTTATTTTAGAGTATTGTCAATTGTTTTCATTTTTGACAACCTGAAGAGTGTGAGATAGTATTTTACTATTGTTTTAATATGCATTTCCCTCTTTAAAATTTTTTTAAACGTTTTTCTTGATTTCATAGAGAGGAGGGAGAGGGAGAGAAAACGAGAAACATCAATGATGAGAGAGTCATTGATTGGCTGCCTCCTGCATGTCCACTACTTGGGATCAAGCCTACAACCTGGGCTTGTGCCCTGACCTGAAATCCAGCCGTGATCTCCTGGTTTGTAGGTCGATGCTCAACTGCTGAGCCATACCTGGCCAGACTGCATTTCCTTCTTTCTTAGTGAAGTTGAACATCTTTTTATTTGTTTATTTAATATCCTTTTTTTCCCTTTCTGATTGCCTGTTCATACCCTTTGCCCATTTTTCTGTTTGGTAGTTTGTTTATTTAAAAATTATTTATGGTTCTTTATATTCTGCATATTAATCTTTTGTTATGTGTACTGTAAAATGCTGTTTTTCAAACTGTTATTTTTACTTTACCTTTACTTATTAGACCTTTTAAATACAAATTTTATATTTTAATGTCAACTTTATCAATATTTTAATTTATGATTTGCATTTTTCGTTTTATATTTTAGAAGTTTGCTGTATCCTAGAATAGGATATTCAACTTAAAATCTTAAACTATAGTTTTTACACCTACTTATTTGTTTTATCTGTTGCTGTGTAACAAATTACCCCAAGCTTGGTGACTGAAAACAATAAACATTTATTACCTCTTAGTTTCTGTGGGTCAGGAATCCAAGAGTGCCTTAGCAAAGTGGTTCTGCCTCAGGTTCTCTCACAAGATTGCAGTTAAGGTGTGGGCTGGAGCCGCAGTCATCTCATGGCTTGACTAGGGATACATCTGCTTCCAAGCTCACTCATGTGGCTGTGGCAGGCCCTATTCCTTACCATATGGGCCTCTACACAGAGCTCTCACTGCGTGACAGCTGATTTTCCCCAGACAGCAGTCTAAGCAAGAGCAAGACAGTATCCAAGATGGAAGTCACAGACTTTTTAAATAACCTAGTATCAAAAATAACATCCTGTCAATTCAGCTATATTCATTAAAAGTAAATTATTAAGTCTAGCCTATGCTCAAGGGAAGGGAATTACACAAGGACATGAGTACCTGGAGGCAGGGATCATTGGGGCCATTTTAGTGACTGCTTACCACATTATTCTAACAGTCCAAACAGAAAAGAGGAAATAAGTAATTATAAAAGGAAATAAAATTTTAAATGACGTTAATATTTATTAACAAATGTAGCATGTGCTAATTTCTAATTAAAATAGTAAATTTTATTATTAAAACCATGTATGTAGCTCTGGCCGGTGTTCCTCAGTGGTTAGAGCGTCAGCCTACACACCAGAAGGTCACAGGTTCAATTCCCGATCAAGGGCACGTACCTGGGTTGCAGTTTTGATCCTTGGCTCTTGTCATGGCTCATGCAGAAGGCAACCAATTGATGTGTCTCTCTCACATCGATGTCTCTCTCTCTGTCTCTCTCTCCCCACTTTCTCCCACTCTCTCTAAAAATGAATGGAAAAAATATCCTGGGGTGAGGATTAACAAAAAAAATCATAGGTATGTAAGTAACATTGACATTCAGTAAATGTAGTATTTACTCATTTACTTAATATAATGTGGTACATTTGCTAAATATTACAATCAACTTTTAAAATTTGTTTGTACATTTTATTTTAGTAAGACTTATTGCAGTTTTCTTTCCTTAAAGTTGTGTAATGAAAGTATAGCTTTTGATATCGCCACCACCAAGTTATTTTTAATCTAGTATCCAGAACGGATGGATACTCGACTTAATATCAATAGTTGGTTTTGGCCCACAGGGAGTAGAGCTGTGGTAATGGAGTGTCAGTATGGGCCAAGGAGAAAAGGTTTCCAGTTAAAAAAAATCAGTGAGCAGGAAAGCAGGCCTTGTCAACTCTACAAAGCCACTTGTCCAGCTCGGTAAGCTTTCTTTTCTCTTATTTCTTTCTTATTAAGTACTTATTTTTGAATAGCTAATATGCACTTTTTAAAGTTTAAGCAGCTCCAAAAAATATACACTGAAGTCTGAGTTTCTTCTTACCCCTGCTCCCTTGTCCCTCTGTAAGGCAACAGCTCTTATCAGTTTCTTGAGTAACCTACCAAAGATGTTCTGTGTATATGCATATATATTCTCCTTTGCCCTCATAAATGTTAAAGGTCTCAGTAAAGCTTACTAGTATTTTCTTTCCTTCAGGTTAGATAGTAGTGTACCTTCTTTCCTTCTGTCAATCCACATTGATTTATGTTCATTCTGAATGCCTATTGTGATTATTTACTGCATAGCTATTATGCTTCAGCTTAGTTTGAATGTAATGACATGTACTACTCTGCATTTTATTTTTATTCTTCCAAATATATCTCAAAGCCGCCATATCTGTATATAAAATCACTGGTTATTTCTTTAAAATTTTTTTAAAAATTTATGTTAAAAATTGAAAAATAACATACAACATATTAGTTTCATGATTCCTTCTTTTTAATAGCTATATAATTATCTGTGGATGAATTATCATTTATTTAACTAGACCTGTAATGATGGACATTTAGACTCTGAAAAGTACTCTTATTATATACAAAGCTGCACCTATTTATACATTTGTACCTGTTTATACACTTGTGCAAGTATATCAGTAGGATAAATTCCTTGAAATGAAATTGCTAGGGCAAAGGTTATATTCTTTTAAAATGTTGACAGGTATTAGAAAGTTGCTTTTTAGAGAGATTTTACTAGTTATATTCATAGCGGCAATGTATGAGACCAACATAGTTTGTTCTAGTTAGAGTAGGACTATAGAGTTGTTATTGCTCTGGTGATAATGAAAAATGTGAACCAATAAAATATTTTTGTAATATCCTTTACTAATATTCTTTTTTTCAGACATTGAAAATGTTTCATATTATTAGCTAAAATAAAATTTAAAAAAATAACATGTAAAGGTTGGATTTAGTTGATCTTTGAAACATTTTAACACCACATCTTGTATCACAGACCTCAGCATTCTGAGTTATTTGTTTTTTATTTTTATTTTAAAAAATATATCTTTATTGATTTCAGAGAGAGGAAGGGAGAGGGAGAGAGAGAGATAGAAACATCAATGATGGGAGAGTCATTGATCGACTGCAGCCTGCAACCTAGGCATGTACCAGGAGTCGATCCCCCATCTCCTGGATCCTAGGTCGATACTCAAGCACTAAGCCACGGCCTGCTGGGCCTGAGTTTTTATTTTTAAATTTTATTTTTTCCATCACCTTTTATCCCCTCTATGCCCTCTTCCACTTCCACTCATCCCCGGCTCCATGTGCTGACCGTTCTCAATTTTTAAAAAATATGTTTTGATTTTTTTTTTTTTTTAAAGAGAGGAAGGGAGAGGTAGATAGAAACATCAGTGATGAGAGAGAGACACATCAATCAGCTGCCTCTTGAATGCCCCTACTGGGGATCGAGCCCACAATCGGGGATGTGCCCTGACCTGGAATCGAACCAGTGACCTCTTGGTTCATGGGTGGACACCCAACCTCTGAGCCACACCTGCTGGGCAGCATTCTCAGGTTTTAAACCCTGTTCAGAAGGCTTTTCATGTTTAATCTGATAATGTTAACTTTAGACAAAATTTAAACCTGACCATGAAACAAAAATTTTAACTGATTTTTACATAGGGTAATAAATCTAAAACTTTACGTGTAACTTGGTAGAAAATCTGTGTATGTGAAGAAATAATTTTATTCTCTTATTCTATAAGTATCCACTCTGTGTACATTGGGTGTCATGAGAAGGAGGGAGACTAAAAGACATACAAGATTTTACTTAATCATGGGGGAACTGAAAATGTTGGAATAGATCAGTAAGCAAAATACTGTTAGAGAATGTAATAGTATCGTATGGATTAGCTAACTGTCTTCAGAGAGGGAATATGTCCATGTAAACTCATTAACAGGACAGAAAGTACTTAAATAAGAAATCCTGCTGAAGTTTAGATTGAATTTGGATAGGTAGAGAATTAAAGGAAAGATATTGTAGGCTAGGAGAACTATATAAATAAAGATATGGCATGATTTCATATTTGGTATCAAAGGAGGAAGGGTGATTCTTTCATTAAGATGATATAACTTTCATAGGAAAAGCAATTTTATGTTTGAAGTAACTGAAAGTAAGATTAGGTAAAAAGCTAGAATCATATGAGGTGTTTGTGGCTTCCAGGAGAATGGAGAAGAGGCAAATGCAGAAAAAAAAAGCTAATACTCAGAAATATTTAGATATTTTTTCTGAAATCATGATTATTGTTAATTTGCTAAGTATTATGATGCATTGAGTATATGGTAAGTCTTTCACATAATCCTCTGAATGGTTTCTAGAATAATTGATTTTTTTCTAAACTTTAGTGCTTCAAATAAACTTCTGGTTGACAAATTGGGTTTTCTTGAGATTTCAATATAATAAAAAATCTTTTTTTTTTTTTTTTTTTTATAAAAAGAATTTACATTAAAAAGGTACAAAAGTTTCCTGAATATAGAGTTCCTACAGACCCCAAAATTGATAAGAAAATAATACGAATGGAGCAAGAGAAAGCCTTTAACATGCTAAAGAAGAACTTGGTAGATGCTGGTGGTGTTCTTAGGTATGACATTTATATAGTTCTTTTACTTTATAAATTAATTAGCTCCATTTGCAAGAATTCCTTCTGTAAGAGAAATTGTATTTATGGTTTGCAGTTATTTTATTAAGTGGTTTTTATAAGGTAGATGTCTCACTAGTAGTTCCCTAGGTATTAAAATGATTTGCCACTGTATAAGCCATTGAGTTTATCAGCCAAATATCATGGCTAAATCTGACAATTCTGTATACCATATGGAAGTTTTTTCCCAAAATGATGAATACATATTTAGCAACATATTTCACTATATAATTAGTACTTTGTTTCAGGCACTTACTAGGAGCCAAACTTGCAGTCACCTGAATATATTTTAAACCCATCTTTGATTACTTGTGGCCACCAGAAATGAATTCTAAGCCATTCTGTTTTATACCTTTTATACTAAGGTCTCTTTAAAATTTTAATTTAACTTTATTTTTTTATTAAATTTATTGGGTGACATTGGTTAATATGATTATATAGGTTTCAAGTGTAGATTTCTATGATACATGACCTGTATATTGCATTGTGTGCCCACCACCCAAAGTGGAATCATCTTCCATCATTATATATTTGGGTCTCTAAGGTCTTAAATAAGAAGAGATATTAGCTTTCTTATTTTCTTTCATGTGTCAGTCCAGGTGAAAAATTTGCAGTTGTATAATGTGTTTAAGGATATGACCATATCCTGTGTGATCTTTAAAAAAACTTTCAGATGTATGAAAAATGAATAGACATAATAATTGGATCCTTCAGTTTAGAGAACATTGCATATAATTTTTAAGTAGGCTCCATTTTATGCAATATCAGTTATTGAAAGCATTTTGTACAAATATGTAAATTAAAACAGTATCCTACCAGATCAGTTCATTTCTTAGCATTTGTTTTTTGCTCTGCACTGTTGTACGAGAGACCTGTATTCACCTTTTAGTTGACTGTCTTGCTCATTGGGGTAACATGAGCTGGAGTCCTGTGGAGGCAATTTGTTGAACTCCTGCCAGAGACGATTCTCCCACATAGCTCAATCTTGATAGACTCTGAATTATATCTACTCTTTGGTTGGAAGGATAATGGGTGCAACACAGAAGTCATAATCTGGGGACAAAATGGTGGAAGAATGGGAAAATACACAATTCAAAAGATGATGATATAAAAAGTCTCATTATTTTGAGGTGAAATTTACTTAATATGAGATTTAAAATACCATTTTCTTCCCTCCGCCCCCCGCAATTTTAGAAACAGAGGTTTTTAATAAACAAGTTAATTTAAGAAGGTAGCTATAGGTGAGTGGGTGGAATGGGGAACACATGTAATAGGCACAGAGTTTTGCTTTTGCAAGATGAAGAGAGTTCTGTGGATGGATGGTGGTGATGGTAGCACAACAGTGTGAATGTACTTAATGTTATAGAACTGTACACTTAAAAATGGTTAAAATGGTAAATTTATGTGTTTTTTACCACTAGTTTAAAACAGTGTAGACGTGGGGAAGATAAAAGGAGAGAAGAGGAATATTGGGCAGGGCCAGGTTTGGCTTATGCATTCCTGATGAGCTAGCTTATTGGTTAGCAATTCATCTTGGTGCTGAGACACCACCCCCAGTTTACCAAACTGACAGCATTTTGCCCCTTCATGTGATGATCTAAAATACCATTTTCATATATACTTAAATCCTGTACCCTCCTTAACTTTAGGGCCATAGTATAAAGTCTGCAAAAAGGAAAAAAAAAGATTTTTATGTAATTGGGTTTAAAGCCAATCTTAGAAGAGTTAACCAGAGGACAATTTAAATTTATATTTAATATATAATAATATATATATATAATTTTTCTTAAAAGACTATTCCTTTTCTTGGTATTAACATAGGTAATTACCATTCTTGCTTTTGTCTAGTAATATAATTTTAAATATTTTCTCTTGTTAGGTGGTATGTACAGTTACCTACACAGCAAGCTCATCAGTATCACGAATTAGAGACTCCCTCCCTCCCTTTGTCACCTTCCCCCTTTCCAATGTCCTCTCTTGAAGAAGAGGAAACTGCAGTTAGAGATGAGAATTGTACATTACCCTCACGTCTACATCCTCAAGTAGCACATAAGATTCAAGATTTAGTATCACAAGGGATAGAACAAGTGTATGCAGTAAGGAAACAGCTAAGGTACAGTAGAAACAAATTGTTCTGTTTTTCATTTTTGTTTGTTGCTTTAAATAATACACTTAACATTATAGACATTTTCAAGGATGTATGCTATTAGAGTGCTTTCCACAGTAGCTGCACCAATCTGCATTCCCACCAACAGTGCATGAGGGTTCCTCTTTCTCCACACCCTTGCCAACACTTGTTATTTGTTGATTTATTGATGACAGCCATTCTGACAGGTGTGAGATGATATCTCATTGTGGTTTCAGTTTGCATTTCTCTGATGATTAGTGGCGATGAGTATCTTTTTGTATGTCTATTGTCCATTGGTATGTCCTCTTTTCAGAAGTGTCCATTTAGGTTCTTTGCCCATTTTTAATTTGGATTATTTGGTTTTTTGGTGTTGAGTTTTATAAGTTCTTTGTAACTTTTGGTTATTAACTCCTAATCAGATGAATTGGTGAATATGTTCTCCCACTCAGTGGGTTGTCTTTTTGTTGATGGTTTCCTTTGCTGTGCAAAAACATTTTAGTTTGATGTAGTCTCATTTGTTTATTTTTTCTTTTGTTTCACTTGCCCAAGGAGATAGATCAGAAAAAATACTGTTATGAGAAGTGTCTGAGATTTGACTGCCCATGTTGTTTTCTAGGATTTTATGGTTTCAAGTCTAACATTTAAATGTAGAACCAAAGATTTTAAAACCTCTAGGTCAAGGTACTTAGTTTAAGCTATTTGAAATATAGTATATTTTATTACAACAGAAAAATATGAATAGTTCTTTGTCTAATAAAATCTAATATGTAGCACTCTGGTCTAGTTTTATTGATACTCAGGTTATAATAATTAACTATTATTGTCATGTAGCACTTACCATGTGTGTGCCAGGTATTGTGTTAAACACTTTCTATGCATGAACTCATTTATTCTTACTACTATAAAGTTGGCATATTTATCCCCATTCTGCAGATGAGAAAATGGAGACTCCGAGTGGTTAAATAACTAGCTTAAGAGATAGAGGCAGAACTGAAATTTAGATCTGATCTGCAGCCTGTGCTCTTTGCCTTAATTTCTGGTACTTAACTGACCTTGTTTGTACTGGTTATTCTATAGTCTGATCTGAATAACATAGTGAATATTTCCTAGGATTATTCCTTAATTAATATATTACTTTTTTATTTGGCAGATTCCTTAGACATTTTATATTTGCTTCCATGGAGACATTGTTAGATTAGAACCAGAATTGTTAAAACCAACTACTATTTACTAAACCTGAATCTTAAGAGCAGAGGTTTAATACAACTCTGTGATACGGTCTACCGAATGTAATGCACAAAGTATATAATTTCATTTATCTATTTTATCCAATTATGTGGCAATACTGCCTTCTATTTCTATCTTCTGTTTTGTCTACTTGTAAAAGGCAAGCAAACCATACTTTATATGATATTAATTGGTGCCTTTTGGAAGCAATATAACATCTTTATGCAAATAACCTGAGTGTAAGCCCAAGCTCTCTTACTAGGTAAGTGTATAATTTTGGGCAAATTACTTAATTTCTGCAATCCATCAGTTTCCTTATCTGTAAAGTGGGAATGCTAATTGTGCCTACATCAAAGGATCGTATTAAGGGTTAGAGGAGATACTTGATGTGAAGTGTTCAGAGCAGTGCCTGACGTAGTAAGCATTCAAAAACATATTTAAAGTTAAAATAGTGATTCCTTTAAATTCATAAAAATGCAAAGCTCACTCTAAGATATACAGTTGTTTAACCAATGTAAATATTACTTTAAAAAAAATATTACATTTCTTTAATCTGCATGAATTCTATGATTTAACGTAGGGAAAAAATTAAAAGTGGAAAAATATAAACTACTTATAAAGCTGTAAACCATGCTTTACACAAAGAGGACCTTCTCTCATGTGATCTAAAGTAAATCGCTAGGTTGTTTATGTTTTAATCCATTTTATATTCTCCACAGAAAGTTTGTAGAAAGAGAACTATTCAAACCTGATGAGATCCCTGAAAGACATAATTTATCCTTCTTTCCAACTGTGAATGATTTAAAAAACCACATCCACGAAGTACAGAAATCCTTGAGAAATGGAGATAATGTATATAACTCGGAGATTATTCCAGCAACGGTATGATTACAACTGTAATTCCTTGATTATTACAGAATCTTTCTCAGCTTCCATTACTATTTGGACTAACAGGGATGATTGCTATTAGGCCATGTAAATAACTATGATATGAGAAAAAGAGGGGTATTTTTTTCTTAAAATGTAAATACTGTGAACTTTCAAATGATGGTTTGACTAAATATTATTACTCTCACAAAAAAAAACAACTAGTGAATTTCCAACTCTGACTATAATAATAATAGTAATCTTTACTTAAAAATCAATGTAGTTTATCTCTGTAAAAACTATATCTTATTCATTTAGCAGACATTTATTAACTACATGCTGTGTATATCTTCCCCTCTTAAAGTAGATGGGTAAATTTCAATAGAATAGTTCAGACTTGAATAAATGAGATAATAATGTTAGTTCTGTATGACATCTATAGATATTAGTGTTACCTCATATTATCATAGTTTCCCCCTGAATATTGGTCATTTCTATGAAAATTTTTCCTACTCTGAAGAGATTAGTATAATTACCCAGAAACTAGTAACTGTAATGCAGGCAGTGACTATGGTATTAAAATCTTAGCAGCAATATTCTTTGCTCTCCACATTTTTACTATCCAAATTCAGTAACTGAATAAACTTAGATTTTTTTAAAAAGCTAGAGCTACTATCCTTTGCTATTCAAAACTCTTAATTATTCTCTATCCAAAATTCAGGAACGAAAACAGTTTTGGTTAGCAATGGTCCTTGCTACTGACACTTGCTAACCAAAATCTTGCTATCTGAACTTGGGAAACTAATGCATTTGGATAGTGAAGTACACCTGTGCTTTGAGAATATGAACAAGTGAAGACAATAATTACAGAATAAAACACAATTATCCTATGACAATAAAATACGACAATTGTATTGATGTTTTAAAATATTTTTCAATATTACTTTTACTGAAGTGAATGTTCCCTTTTTAGCTTCAATGGACTACGGACAGTGGGAATATTCTCAGAGAGACTGTGACAGTTACATTTGCAGAAGGTAGGTTATCTTACATACCTTTAAAATATAAAATCAGTGTTAAAACTAGAAGACATTTAAGATACTATTTCATCTAATCAAATTTTATGGATAAGGTAACCATGGCCCAAAGAGACAAGAGCAACTATGTTAGGATTTATCAAAATAAATCCAGCTATTTAAATTTCCTCTTGTAATCAGCTTTTATGCTTTTTAAAAATTATATGTTTTTATTGATTTCAGAGAGAGCAAGAGAGAGATAGAAACATCAGTGATGAGAGAGTCATTGATCAGCTGCCTCCTGCACACCCCCTACTGGGGATTCAGCCTGCAGCCCAGGCATGTGCTCTGACCAGGAATGGAACCGTGACCTTCTGGCTCATAGGTTGATGCTCAACCACTGAGCCATTTCGGCCAGGCTATGCTTCTTTATGAGTGAAAATTGAGTCTGATTACTATCGTGGTTTACTATAAAGTTAGGCTAATTTCAGTAGTAATAACCCTAAGATACTCTGATGAGGAAACTATTGTCCCTTTTGTATGGTTTGTTTTTTTTCGTATGTTCTTATTCCTATGTTCTCTCAATAGCCCAAGCTTATTTCAACCCTTTTATTCTCTCTTCTGGAAATATCTTTTCTTCTGCATGGCAAACTCCACTCACTACTCAAATAACAATCTCTTTGGCTGTAAGTGCTCTCCCAACTTCATCCTCTGTATAAAGTGAGGTACTCACTCTTTTGTATTTACCTCTTCATTTTACATGATATCCTTTTGTTTACACATCTGTATCTTTCATTATGATTTGAGCTCCTCAGGAGCAAGGATTGTATCTTGTTCCAGAGCATGATGTCTGCTAAAAAATTAATACCTAAATAAGTACTTTAAAATAAATGTATGAATAACTATATACAATACAATTATTTCTTTGTTCTTTGGCTTATTAACCTTTGAGTCACTGATTACAGATAACTTTCAAATTCTTTAGCATTATTTGTTTGTTCTGCACATATTTCACTCACTGTGATAAATGCTGGGCATAAAAAAAGAACAAGTAAGTTTCTTCATTAAATTTAAGGTTTAACAAAAGAAAAAGACACTAAATAAGCATATTCTAATTAATTACTATTAGGAAAAGGGCCGTGAGAGAGTTTTGCAAACTTATGTGGCAATAGTGATAGAGACATATAACTTATTAGTCCAGGGAGTAGGGAAATGACACTTGAGAAAGTGATTTTTAAACTAAGAACTGAAGAATAAATAGGAATTTGCCAATCAAATGAATAGCATGTTTGAAGGCTAAGCAATAAAGAGCTTGTCATATTGAAGGAACTTAAAGTTAGTGTGATTTTAAGCATAGATAATGCTTGGAGATAAAACTGGATAAGCAAAACAGGTTTATGAAGCCCTTTCAGCTGTACATTTGAAAGGTTATGCTGGTTTAGCCTACAGTGGTAGCATTTATATTAGAATTGGACAGATTTAAGAGTTATTTTAAAAGTAGACCTCAAAGGCCTTCGTTATCAACTGAATAGGTGTGGGAGTTGAAAGAGTGGAGATGATTTAGAATGACTCCTGAGTTCTTTCCATTAGCAACTGGCTAATAGTGGCATTTACTGAGCTCAGTAACACTGGCATTAGAATAGGTATTGGTGGCCGCAGGGGAGTAAAAAAGATCATGAGATCAGGTTTGGAAAGTTTGTGTATCAGAGCCCTTTTAATAGAGTGGATTGGGAGGAAGCCTTATTGGGGAGGTTGAAGAGTGAGTGGTAGATGAAGGAAGTAGAGACGACGTGGACCACTTTTTCAAGAAGTTTGCTAGTTTGCTATGAAGGGAGTATGGGGTCGAGGGAAAGCATTTTAAGACAGGAGAGACCTGAAGAAATAGATGAAGATGAAGGTACTTAATAGCTTTGGTGATAGGAAGTTGAAGAAATTTCTATCTGAGATAGCTTCTCTTTTCTCTTTAAATATGTTTTCTTTTTTCTTTTTTCTTTTTTATTGATTTCAGAGAGAGGAAGGGAGAGGGAGAGAAAGATAGAAACATCAATGATGAGAGAGAGTCATCGATCGGCTGCCTCCCGAATGCCCCCCTACTGGGGATCCAGCCTGAAACCCGGGCATGTGCCCTGACCGGGAATTGAACCTTGACCTCCAGGTTCATGGGTCAGTTGCTCAACCACTGAGCCACACTGGCCAGGCTCTCTTTTCTCTTTAAGTAAGAGTACTAAGAATGAGGGAAGATCTCAGGAAGGTTGGCCAAGATTTTAAGAAAATGGAGATTAGATATCATTCCTAATATGGAGTCAGAGAGAAATATTGTAAGGTTGTCAGATATAGGCGGTGGTCAGGTCAATGTTGATGATTATGAATTGATAGTAGTAGCAGTGAGTTTCATCTTCAGTGGCATTTGACTTCACATGTATAGGCAGTGGAAATCATTTTCATCCAGAGTTAGGACTTTATCAGGTGGATAGGACCAAAAGACAGAGAGGCAAGGGAGTTTAGGATATTTGCAAGAGTACAACTAAAGCCCTAGCCTGTTTGGGTTAGTGGTTCAAGTGTCGGCCTACAGACTCAAGGGTCCCGGGTTTGATTCCGGTCAAGAGCACATACCTTGGCTGCAGGCTCGATCCCTGGCCTGGCCCCAGTGCATGCAGGAGGCATCCAATTGATGCATCTCTCTCACATAAATGTTTCCCTCTCTCCCTTCCACTCTCTCTGAAAATCCATGGAAAAAATATCCTCAGGTAAGGATAAAAAAGAAAAGAAAAGAGAGAAAATTATAAACCCAGTACGCTAAGCTGGACGGGGAGAGAATTTTATGAAGGAAGTGGTTGATGGATCTGAAGAAAACAAGAATCAATTGGCGGGAGGTTCACTTGAGGTTGAAGAACCATTGTTGTGGAGTACCCGAGCAAAATCCCTGGGAGGGTCAGCGGTTGTGATCAGAGAATGTAGAATAGTCCAGGGTATGACCATAGCAGTAGCAACAGAGTGAAATAGGACAATTAGAAAGGAAGAAGCCAAGAAATGTGAGCCCTGTTTAATCCTCTCTGTAGTCCTTTGAGGAAGATTCTCTTATTATCCTCATTTTACAGATGAGAAAACTGAAGTTTAGAAACTGGGTTAAATAACATGTTGAAGGTTACAGAGAAAAGCCAGCGCTTAAATCCATCCTTGTCTGACACCAGTGCCATTTAAAAAAAAGTCACTCAAAGGCCAGTATGAAAGCAATAAATAGTTGTTGGTAATTGGTTTAATTGATTTAAAGAGATGAATATATTTGGGTTAACATAAGAATTACATGAGAAGGAATCAAATTGTTCCTAAGGACAATTTACTTTACAAATTAAGATACTAAGAAAACTGATTTTTACTTGTACTTATTCCTTAATGGATTATTGAAAACAATTTAATACTCTTATTATTGAGGACTTGCTGTATACCAGGCATTGTCCTAGGGCTACCAAAGATGAATTAAGTTTGATCTGTGTAATTCAGAAGCTTAATAGGTTCACCACATCTAGGGAAGGTTAGGTGTAATCCAGAATCATGGCATTGAAAATGGGCTTGATTAGTTACAGATGTAGAGTCTTTGAAGGAAAAAAAATATCATTTACTCTAGATATACTGAATTAAATTACATAGAGGTTGAAGAGGAACTTATATGTTTTTAAAGTTCCCTTAGTAATTCTGATTACCTAACAAGATCTGGAAATAGTGGACTAGGTAACTTCTTACAAGTCCTTTTCAAACCTTTGATCTTATTTCCTGATAGTTAGGGTGTAATAAAGTGTAGTATCCTAGAAGCTATAATTTGTTTTTGTTTTAATAATTTATTTTTTTATATAATTTAGGAAATTCACCAGAAGAATCAACTACCACCAAAGTGGAAATAAATCACACAAGGGATTCTTTGTCTCCAGAACCAGCCCATTTGCTCTCCTCACTTTCTTCATTTCAGCCAAAAATATTCACACAACTACAGGTAGAAATTCAATAAAATAGCCAAATTTGAAGCCCTTTGTTTGTTCTTCAGTCTCCCTTCTTCTTCTCTTAGGGTTTTTACAGATTTGTTATAGAATTATAATAATGATCAAAGATGGTTTCATTATTAATTTCTCGACTTTTTGTATCTCGATTTAAGACGATAATTTAAACAATATGTTTTGAAAAAATTTGAGTTGACTGTGCTTGCAGTAAAATTTAGTTGTCCTACTTTTCCTTTGGTTCCTGTTTCTGTCCTCACTTAATATTTGTTTACGACTATACTCTTATATTTTATTCCAATTTGTGTCAAAAGAATAATATAGCCTATGAGAATTTACATAGTAAATTCAAACATTTTGATGTAACTCTTTTTGGTTTAAAAGGGTTTACAGTTGCAACCAAGATTTACTTCTGATGGATCACCGGCTTTGATACCAGTAAATGACCACCCCTCCTCTAGTCCTTCAAGACTTCCAGATTCAGTGGGAAGTACTATAATGAATAATAATTCTCTACAGCTTGGTCAAAGTCACAGCCTTCAAACAGATACATGCCTTACCCAAAACAATAGTATTGCCTCTACCATGGATAAACTTCCAGGATCAGATCAAAATCTGGTTGCAGTGGATAAGCTGATAGATGTTGGAGATGTTGAAGATACAGAGAATCTGGAAGGAAGTGTTCGTCGGATTCTGTTGGGAAATGTGCAGTCCATTCCAATACAGATTATAGACAGCCACCCAGCTCTTAGTAAGTTAAAATCAAATTATTAGTTTTTTAAAACTTTATGGATTACCATCACTATTACTCTACAGAAAAAAACCTGTCATTTCTACTCAGTGAGTTTATAATATATAGATAAATCAGGTAAAACTTTGAGAAAAAGGGGAAGACATTTCATGAATTACATTTTAATAACTTTTAAACTTTTAATTTTTCTCTCTACTGTAATTATTCATTCTCTAATTACCTAGTTTTACATGGAAAATCTGTGATGATGTCAGATCAGACAGGTCATTTTAGAATGCATGAAAAAAGTAAAGGAACTTTAAAAGGAAAACTATTTAGTGTAAAGGTTATTATGGAAAAATTAATATGCACACAACAAAAATGGAATAAAGTGGGCAGATAAAAGGATTAAAAGGAAAATTTTAAGTTACAGACTTAAATGTCGAGTTCTATGGAAATTGAAAGAGAACTTGTACTAAACCCAAGTCCCCAAGACTTGGGTTTAGTACATGACTTTGGTACCTTCACTTTGTAATGAGACCAGTTAGCATAGTAATAAACTGTTAACTCCTGCTCGACCTATGTCACTTCTTTTTCCAAAGATTGTTCTGGATTGGGCAGTGTAGTGGGAAAAGATTTGCAGTTGGCTTTGAAGAGCAAAATCTTCTCAGAAATTCTCCTTAGAACATATATTTCCCCTCCATTCTTTTTTTTTCCTTCCTTTTTTTGTTTTGTTTGTTTATTTTTGTTTAAAATATTACTCCCCTCCATTCTTAATCATCATTCTTCTCAGTAAGGAAAAGTGTGAGATAGTTCCTTCCAGAAAAGAATCATTGTCTTCTAAATTTATTGGAAATCTTACTTTTAAGAAAATCTATCCAGAGGGTCTGTGACAGTTGTCACTACTGAGGAACTTTAGTAGAAGAGGTAAAAGGAATATACTTGAATTAATCCTCACAGTAACTCCATAAAATAATTGATGATGTCTCCTTTCTGCAGATGGGGACACCAAGGCTCAAAGAGGTTAAGTAATTGCCTAAGATCACATCTAGTGACAAAGAAGGAGTTTAAACTCAGATCTAACTGCCTCCAAAGCTTTTCCATTCTAGCATGCTTCCTCCCTCTGTATTGTACCACCGTATTTCTGGGATCTCTAAATCTAATTTCTGGGATCTCAGATTGCTTTAAAGGAGACCCTCTATGAATCTGAATTTGCATGATTTATCACGTTAGCTCATGATCTGAGGGACTACTTCACAAGAGTATTTATTCTGGTGGTCATTTAAATCTATCCTCACTGGTTTTCTCTATGGCTTGGGCCAAACTCCGACACACCCGTATATGACATGCATTAAGGTGTGTTCAATACACTTCTTTGAGCAAATATGGTCCCTTTAACTTCAATTTCTTAGAGCAACTGAAAAACTGATATTCCTGAGAAGGAGAGAGAAAGACTTTATCTTAGATAAACCAACTACCAGTTCACAATAGTGTTTCTGGTGTGCTACATTTAGATTAATTTGGCCATAAGTTCTTTGAAATCAGAATGGTAATTGCATTCTGAAATATTTTAGATCAGCAAATACATAGCTCGTGTAGAGCTATCATTTAAGATGTGGGTTTTTTCCCTAAAGTACTTACATAGTGAAGTTTCCTTAGGTAACATTTTCTTAATATATGACCACATATGGAAACCATATGGGAATGGTAACACATCTGTGAATTTGTGATACATATGCCTGCTGTTTGCAAAAGAAATCATTTTGAAATAATGGGAGGGTTCCTGACTTTTAGTCACACATGCTTTTACAATTATGTTTAAATATTAATTATTACTCATAATTTTATCACATTATGGATTGGTTTTTGTCAAAGTACCTTTAGAGAAGAATAACTTTATAGATGTCTTGTCTCTTCTTTTTTTTCATAACCAGAAGCATACTGGAGGAATTTAACATGAATGACTATTAAGATGTCAGAAGCACTAAATTCTCAATCACACCAAATGCTTTTCTAAATTACTTGGTTCTTTTTTCCAAACTACTGTTGTATGCTTTGCTTCTAAATTCATATAATTCATATAATTTAGGGTTTTTCTTTTATGTTTGGTTTTTAAGTTGAAGAAAATCCAGAAGATACCATTTCTGTGAACCAAGTTAAACAAGAACCCAAAGAACCAGCATTGACTATGGAAGAAAAAAAATTGAACTGTAAGAAATTATCTGCTACATAAATTGTTGAAGCTTTTCAGAATTGTACAACTCTGGTGACTTCTGATGTCTTAGAAAAGAGGTGAATATTGTCAGACCTCAGCAGTGTGATAAATGGACTGAAGACTGGTTTGATGAGCAGCTTTGATTTAAAACTGATATATTTGTTACGAATTCCATATTTTTACCTTAAGAGATATTTTACACCTCTTATTTTGTATAATTCTTATGCTTTTTGAATACCTGATAAGGCCAGTATTTCAAAAGGTCTTCTGAACTTATCCATGGTAATATAGCCTGGACACAAATAGTTATCTAATTTATTCTCTGGAAATAGCCAATTTTAGCTCTTAAAAAATGAAAAAGAACAAAAACTGTGTGTGTGTGTGTGTGTGTGTGTGTGAGAGAGAGAGAGAGAGAGAGTGTGTGTGTGTGTGTGTGTGAGATGCCTTTTTTTAATTTCTAAAAGAACTTATTCCCTCTTTAAAGTTGTAGAGAAATTTTTTAAATTGGGAGACAGGTGAGAGAAGATTTGTAGTCTGTCTCATTTGGAAAGATAAAACAATAGGTTTTACTTCATAACATGAAGCCCAACATTCACATCTGTGGAAACCGTGTAGTTGCATTTTAGCTTCTTTCATTCTGATTTTTATACTTATAACTACAAACCAATAGCATACTAATGATCATCTAGTAGAAATTTAAAGGATCTTGGTAAGTACTGAGAATTTTAACTTGAATTAATCAGATAAGGAACAGAAATAAATTTATATTGCATGGCTTTGTGCAGTATTGTAGTACATCTCTACTTATGGGTAGAAAAATGTAGAAATTGAGAGGATTCTGAAAGAATAGAATTCCATGGTGTTTACAGATAATTTGGGGAACTTTTTGATATTGGCAGAGGATTTCTTCCTATTTTATATTGAAGATTCAGCTCTGGTTAGAAAAGAATTTGAGTTGTATTTATTTTTTTATGCCAGAGTTTTTACTGAATTGATGGTATTAGAATTTATAGTACTTCAAGGTAAATATTTATAGTTTAAATTTAATTTATATTAAAACTTTAAAACAACTGATGTGTTATATATATTTGCTTGTTGAGTAAGTATATTTACTTCAAATATTGAATATAAGCTGCTGTTTTCTGGAAGGCTGGTAAACTAGAAACATCAATTATAACTGTCAAGAAATCAACCTAAAGACATTTTTCCCCCTCAGAGACCATCTGTGGTTATATTTAAAAGTAATGAGGATTTCAAATGGGTTTTAATGTTTAATATTCAAAGCATGTAAATATTATATGAAATTTAACTGGAATACTTTACATGAATATGAGGTTTTTTTTGCTTTTCTAAGTCCAATCTCTCATTCTTAATTCACTTTAATGGTTTCAGGTACACAACATGTATAAGTATAAAGCACTCTTATATTAGAAGTGGGTGGAATTTTAAAATTCCTTGCTCTTTAGATTTATACCCTATTTAATATAAAATTTATAATTTAAGCCTCTATTTAATGCAAAGTTAGTATTCAGTTACATATGTGATTTTTAATAAGACTTGCTTATCATTTTCCTAATAAATGAAAATATTTGCCAGTATTTATAGAGTTAGGCTGCCAAATCTGTTATGTTATAAGTTAAACACAACTCTTAGTTACCTCAAACCCAGATTTCTCTTAGTCTGTGTGCACTTAAAGGGCATAAGTCCAAACTAATTTATAGTTTAGTGTTGCATGTAGGTAATGTTCTTTTCATTTGTTATTTTTAGTTTTTATGGAAACTTTTTTCAAGATTTTATATAATCTTCACTTTTCATTAGTGACAGTAATTTATTATTAAATATTTTACCAATTGAACTATATTTCTTTGGAAGCATTCCTTTATTTTTTGATGTTGAGTTGCTAAGGAGAAATGCTTGTTAAGATACAAACTCTAGTCATTTACTGATGAGGATGAGAAATGTCCAAGGATTCAGACTTTAGAACTTGATCAAGAACAAAACATAGTTTAAAAATATTTCTCTCACTTCATTCTCTGTGAATGTCTCTTCTGATACTTTTTGATTTTTTATTATGAGGACAGAAAGTTACTGTGCATCCTCCCCACAAACAAAAAACTAAAGAAAAGTGCATGAAGGAAGTTTAAATCCCTAATTATATACTCTTTTGGTTTTTAGGTAGAAACTGGAACTATCAATATTTTCATGTAAGTATTTCAATGAGTAGTTCTTTAAAAATGGTTTCTAAATTAGTTTTTAAAAGTTTATTTGTCCTCTAACTGCATATTCAGTCACAATATATCAGTATTGTATTTTAAAGGTGCTTAGCATCGCCTTTTTAAAAGTGTGTTTACATATTTTAAATATTTAGTTATTTTAAAAATGTACAGGGTATTGAATACAAGTGCATACAATTTTCAGTATCTATATTTGGCATTCTCCTAACAGCTCTACAGCAAAGTTTGACAGATGCTATTTTGTGTCATGTATTACAAAGTATAATATCTGTAGTAGTAAGTTGGACATTCAAAATAAGCATTTAGAAATTCATAATTACAGATGAGCTTGTTTATTCATTGTAGTTTTTATGTTCCAAGTCTCCAAGTGAATTTTATATATACTACAATGAATTATAGATAAATAGCCACGGTGGGCATATTCCTAATACTGATTTTTGTGTAAGCAGTTAACATACTTAAAAAAAAAATGTGTATGCTTATACCAGGTAAATATTTTCTAAAAGTCACAAGTGATAGAAATCAAATTTTGGGATCTGGTCCTGCATTAAAGTTTCTAATTTTGAGGCCCACCAGCTTGTATTCCATCTTTATATTCTGTCAAAATACGTACTTAATCATGTGAGTATGAGAAAGATGTCATTTAATTTGTAGCAGGATTTTTTAAAAGTTTTAAAAATGTGTGTATACTATATATATTGTAACTTAATGTATAGTGTCCTTGTTATAATGTAATTTTTTCATTAAAATACTGTGCTTTTTTTCTAAACTTGTTAGTTTTCTTTTTATATTTTTCCTGGAGATAGTGGTGGTTTTGTTCATTTTGAAAATGCTGAATAAATACTCTAATATCTGAGAATTCTGGTGATAGATTTATGTTCAATTTGGAAGTTTTTAAGCGTAACTACTACTAATTCCTGTTATTACATTTGAGGATATATTTACATTTAGTATTCTCAGCTCAGCCAACCATCAGTATTTTAAAACAATGTGTGAAGTAGGGTATCAGTAATTCTTTCCCCCCACATTGTAGTACTGTGACATTTTCAAGTACAGCTTTATATTTTTGGAGTAATGATAGAAATATGTTATTTAAACAGGAGGGATCATTAATTTTTTCCCTCTTTGCTTTTTTTTTTTTGGCATAATTCCACTCTGCCTATTTTTCAGGACCATAGAAAATCTTTCTCTCTCCAGAAGGGGGACTGCATTTAATCTTCTCCATCAGCTGATTTAGGCTTTAGACATCTTAAATGGTGTATTGTTTTGATATCTAATTATTGGCAATTCTACTTACTTAATGTAGTTGTAATGCCAAAGCTTTAGTATTGTTTTTCCACATACATGTTAGCTATGAATTCTATTGTTAAATAATAAAAATATTTGTTGTTGAGTGAATTCTTAAAACTTCAGCAATAAAATCAAATAAAAAAAACCCTCACTTATTAATGGATCCTAAACTGATTCATGAGAAAAATGAATAAATTGTATGGGTAGTATGGAAAACCTTTGAGAATGTGATATGGGTGTAAGAGTGCAGGGGAGATGTTATCTAACGATACAAATTTACAACCAAACTACTAAAGATCTAATTGTACAACATAGTGATTATAGTCAACAATACTTTATTATAAATTTTAAAGTTGTTCAGAGACTAGATCTTAATTATCACCACACAAAAAAGTTATGTGATGAGAAAGAGGTATTAGCTAACACTATGATGGTAATCATATTGTAATGTGTAAATTATAAAATCAGTATATTGTACACCTTAACTTAAAAAATATTATATGTTAATTATATCAATAAAAAATGAACTCTAAAACCAGAGGAAAGAGTGGGAGACAGATACCAGCAGTGTTTAATTTAAATATCTTTACTGAGGTATAATTGACATACAATGAACTGCACATATTTAAAGTGTACAGTTTGATATTTTGGTAAATGTATGCATATATGCAACCATCATCAAAGTTAAGATAATGAACATATCCGTCACCCGCAAAAGATTCCTAGTGTTCCTTTATAGTCCATCCCACTTCTCCCTCACTCCCAGACCCACCCCATCATCCCCAAACATACCAATCTGCTTCCTGACATTAAAGATCAATTTGCTTTGTTATAATTTTATAAAATGAAATCACATAGTATCAACTTTTTTATCTGCCTTTGGCACTCAGCATAGTTATTTTGAGAGTTATCTACATCACAGGATAAACAATTCATTCTATTTTACTGCTAAGCAGTACCTCATTGTATGAATATACCATAGTTTATTCATTCACCTGCTGATGGACACCTGGGTTGCTTATGGTTCTTGGCTACTACAAATAAAGCTGCTATGAACATTTGTATAAGTCTTTATATGGACATATGCTTTCATTTCTCTTGGGTAAATAGGTGTGAAATGGCTCTGACATGTTAGATATATATTTAACCTTATAAGAAATTTTCAACTGATTTTTCAAAGTGTTGTACCATTTTATATTTGTATCAGCAGTGTATTAGAGTTCCAGGTGCTCTCTATCCTAGCTGACACTTGGTATGGACAGGCTTTTAAGTTTTAGGCGTTGTAATAGGTGTGTAGTATTATGTCATGGTGGTTTTAATTTCCATTTCTCTAATGAACACCGTTGAGCATTTTTTCATGTGGTTTGTTTTTTTGCCATCTGTATATCTTCTTTAGTGAAGTGTCTGTCTGAATCTTCCACCCATTTTTAAGTTGAATTATTTTCTTCTTATAGAGGTTTAAAACGTGTATTCTAGATACAAGTCCATTATTAGAAATGCGATTTACAAACATTTTCACCTGATATGTAGCTTATCTTTTCATTCTCTTAACAGAATCTTTCAAAGGGCAGAAGTTTCTGATTGTGATAAAGTCTAATTTATCTTAACTTTAAAAAAAATTAAATGTATTGGAGTGACATTGGTTAATAGGATCACATAGGTTTCAATTGTATGTTTCTATGATATACATGGTCTGTATATTGCATTGTGTGCCCACCCCTCAAAGCCAAATCATTTTCCGTCACCATTTATCTTTTCTCATCCCTCCCACCCCTTTTCTCTGGTAACCACCATTCTATTGTCTGTGTCTATGAGTTTCAGTTTTATATCACACATGAGTAAAATCATATGGTTCTTAGCTTTTTCTGACTGACTTTGCTTAGCATAATATTCTCAACATCCATTCATGTTGTTGCAAATGGCAGTATTTCATCTTTTCTTATGGCTAAGTAGTATTGCATAGCATATATGTACCTCATCTTTATCTAGTCCTCTATCACAGGACACTTTGGTTGTCTCCGTGTCTTGGCCACTGTAAATAATGCTGCAATGAAGAGAGGGGTGCATATATCTTTGAGAATAAATGTTTTCAAATTTTGGGGGTAGATAACCCAGAAGAGGAATTGCTGGGTCTTATGGTAGCTCTATTAATTTTTTGAGGGACAGCCAAACTGTTTTCCATAATGGTTGTGCCAGTCTACAGTCCCACCAGCAGTGAATGAGGGTTCCTTTTCCTCTGCAACCTCTCCAACACTTGTTATTACTTGTCTTTTATGGACCATACCTTTGTGTTCTATCTAAGAGGTCTTTGCCTAACCCAAGGTTAGATTTTTCTCCTATATTTTCTTCTAAAAGTTTTATAACTTTAGTTTTACATTTAGAACTCTAATCCATTTGAGTTAATTTTTACGTACCTAGTACAAGGCATAAATTCACTTTTCTTTTTTGCATATGATATCTAGCACCATTTTCTGAAAAGACTATGCTTTATCCATTGAATTAGGTTAATACCTGTGATGAAAAATCCATTAACATGTGGACCAGTGTTTCTATTAACAGGACTTCGTTATCTTCCATTGATGTATTTTTTGCTCAGTGGTCTCTCAACTGGAACAATTTTCCTCCAGGGGACATTTGGCAAAGTCTGAAGATAGTTTTAGTTGTCACAACTAGGGAGACACTGCCAGTTTCTGGTACATTGAGATGCTGTTCAGCATCATATAATGAGTGAGACAGCCCCCACGACAAAAAATTATCTGGCCGAAAATACCAAGAGTACCGAGATTGAAAAACTCTGGAGTATCTTTATGCCGGTACCATACTGTGTTGATTATGGTAACTTTTAAGTCTTTTTTTTTTTAATTTGTTTTGATTATTCTAAGTCCTTTGTTTTTCCATGCGAATTTTAGAAGCACCTTGCCAGTTTTTTATAAACGCCTGATGGCATATTGATTGTAATTATGTAGAATATATCGATTCATTGGGGCACAAATGAACTCTTTATATTGATTCTTTAATCTTTTTCTGCATACTTTTCAGTGTACAAGTCTCATATCTTTTGTCAGATTTGTCACTGAGGACTTATAAATGACATTGTTTTTTCATTTCAACTTCTGATTTTTCATTAGTATATAGAAATATAATTGATTTTTTACATGGATTTTATATCTTGTAACCTTATTAATCTCACTTATTAGTTCTAATAGCTTTTTGGAAGATTCTGTCATATTTTCGTCATAGACAATCATGTTATTTTATATCCTCCCAATCTGGATGCCTTTTATTTATTTATTTATTTTCTCTACTGTTACTTTGGCAAGAACCTAAAGTACAATTTGGTTAGAAGTGTTTAGAGTGGACATCCTTGCCTTGTTTTTGATCTTAGGGAAAAAGCATTTAGTCTTTCACCATTAAGTGTGATGTTAACAACTTTTGCATATGTCCTTTATCAAATCGAGCAAGATTCCTTCTTAGCTCGCTGAGAGTTTTTATTAGGAATGGATATTTGATTTTGTCAGGTGCTTTTTCTGTGTATGTTGGGAAGATCATTTGATTTTTCTGTTTTTAGTCTCTCAGTGAGGTGAGAGACATTGACTCGGTTTCAGAGGGAGAAGCAGCCTTGCGTCCTTGCGTTCCTGGAATAAATCATACTTGTTCACCAGGACGTGTTATCCTGTCTATGTATTGTCGGGTTTCATTTGCATTTAACATTACTGTTGACGTGGTTGGGTTAAGTCTTCCATTTGCCTGTTTGTTTTTATTTTCCATCTGTACTTTGTCCCCTTTTTCTTCTGCCTGTTTTTGGTGCATTTGAACTTTTTTTATTGTTCACTTTTACCTCCTTTTTTGACTTACTCATTGTAATTCTTGTTATTTTAATGATTGTGTTAGTGTTTAAACTATACATTTTTAATTATCACAGTCTACTTTCAAGTACTATTCCATTATTTTGCATTTAGTATGAGTCTTACGAGAGTATACTCCCATTTTTCCACTTCTCACCTTTGTGCTATTGTCATACATTCTATTTCTATATATCTTATAAACCCCACAATATATTATTATTTATACTTTAAACAATTACCTTGTAAAGACATTTAAATAATTAAAAATTTTCTATTTACCCACAGTTATTATTTTCATTGTTTTTCATACCTTTTCGTAAATCCATAGTTCCATATGGTATCATTTTTTGTTTTATTTCCTTTTAACATTCCTTTAAATGGAACGTTAACTTTTTGATACTGTAGACTTGTGGCTTATGAGTTCTTTCAGGTTTATCATGTCTGAGAAAGTCTTTATTTTGCCCTATTTTTTTGCCCTCTTTTCTTTTAGCTCCTGTGCATACAACCCAGGCATCAGGAACCCAGACTAGTTTAATCTTTTTATGTAACCATCTCTAACATATCGCTTTCATCTGCATAGTTGTTGCCTTTGTCCATGATGGTTGCTCTACCTCCAGTGCTGATCAGAGCTCATACAGGAAGAATGGAATGTGTAAAGGCCTGTGCTGGGTGAGTGAGCAAAGGTCTTTCTCAGAAAATTCATGGCAGCTTCCACTTTTATCTCATTAGAACTGTTGTATGACCATCTTAGTTATGAGGGATGCTAGGAAGTGTAGTTCTTTTAAAAATCTTGGCACATTACCACCTCAAGAAAAATTGTATATTAGTAAGAGAGAAAGACAGAATTCATTGAATACTGTTTAGGTCACTAAATGGTGTCTCCCACAAATGAGAGAACTGAAATCCAGAAATTCAATAACTTGCCTGAGGTTATTACACAACTATTAACGTTAAAAAGCTCATATTGGTACCAAGGTCTGTCCAATATCATTCCATATTCCTTTTGCTACACAGTCCAGAAAAGCAAGTGATCTTTTCATGAAAGGATCTTTGAGTTGAATCTCTCATGACAGGATATGGACATAGGATTAAAATGCAGATGTGTAGAATTCAAGGAACAAATAGGAAGCATTATATTGCACCTTTGGGGGTACTGGTAAGTTTATTTTTGAGAGAACTTTAGGATTCAATGAAGGAAAGAAGCTGGGGGAAAGATTGGAAAGATAAGACTAGTTGAATGCTAGAAATTCTAGAAGGCCAGGCTAAGGATTTTACATTTTACTTAGCATGTATTAGGGTAAATTCTTATTTAAATAATTTATTAAAAGAGCCCATTGGATCAAAAAGCTTTTCCAAAATCTGGGTGAAAAATGAAGCTTTACAGATTTCTGATGATAGTTATGATTACCAAAAGGAGGTGATAAAGTAATTTATTGATTACCGTAATAAAATTATATAACAATTTTCTAGCCATAACTATTGCATCTATAATTGCTTTTAAAACCCTTGAGTAGTTTACATTTATATTCTACAAGGACACTCTAAACCCTTAAAGATTAATATTCTTTCAACAAAACAGACATGTTTCCTGCCCTTTTGGAGCATACATTCCAGTAGAGGGAGTTAGATAATAAATAACAAACCTAATAAGTATATGTATTCATATGTAAGTATATTTATGTACTTCTGTGTATTATATGTGTATTATGTACTTTAAGTGGGTAAGCGATATGAAACAAAAATGGAATAGAGGAAGAGGGAAATGTGGGGTTTGATGTAAAGAGAATTGCCGTTTTTAATCGGGCAATCAGAGTAGGCTTCATTGAGAGAGCACATGTATCCTTTAATTCTTGAAGGGAATACAAGAGTTGAGTCATGCAGATAATGTGCAGAGCAGTGCAATACGATGGAATTGCAAGACTGGGAATTACTTGCTGTGCCTGAAGGTCAGCAAGAAGGCTAGTGTGGCTGGAGTAGAGTGAGAAAGTACTGAGCAATGAGAGAGATAACAGGGAGTCAGGTCATGTAGGGTCTTATAATTCATTATAAAGACTTTGCTTTTACTCTGAGTGAAAATGGGAAGCCATTGCTGAGTTTTGAGCAGAGGAATGGCAACATGATTTACCCTTTAAAAAGATCGCTTTGACCATTGTGTTAGGAATAAACTTTATAATTGTCTGTTTCCACCTACTAGATTATAAACTGCATGGGGTAGGGGTCTGTCTTTTTTTGCTTGTAGAAGTATCACAGTGATAGCTGCTTAGAAAATATTTTTGAATGAATGACCATCTGCATTTAAGATTTTGGAGCGTCCTTATAGAAAAAAAATGGAAAACAACCTGAAGAGAGATGGGAAAGTCAAGGGAAGAGAATTGCTGAAGAGATGTCTGAGTAAGAGAAAGGGGATGGAATCTAGCACCCAAGTAAAGGGTCTGACTTTAGATAGAGCACAGATACCACATCTATGGATAGACGATAAGGCAGGCTACATGGGTAAAGATGCTAGCAGGTGGGAACAAATGAGATTCTGTGGAAATTCTCTTGATTGCTTCAGTTTCCTTGGTGAAATAAGAAGCAAGGCCGTTCAGCCAGTATGAAGATGGGTGTGTGAGGGAAGTATATTGGAGAGTTGAAAAAAACTAGTAGAATTAGTTAGACTAGGGAAGTATAATACAGGGGTTGGCAAAAGGAGGTTTACAGTTGTGAGTAAGCAAAACAGTTTATTCTTGTGGTTATTATTAATTATGGTATTATTTATTTGTATTACAACTATAAACCTATTTTTGTCCATCCCTGTATTATTAATGGGTCAGCTTGATTAAGAGTTCATTTGAAGTTTATGTTCATAAATTGAAATCCAGATTAGTCAGCATGTTTGTGTGTTTTACTCTAGCTACAGTCAGCAGTGACTGAGTACTCACTGAGAACCAGTCACTTACCTGCTGGCTCCAAGATATAGTAACAAAACCTAACCCTAGCCCTATGAGGACTCACAGTGTATTGACAGGCATATATACAATCAACCAGTTGTAAAATGGTGTGATAAGTACTATCAATTCAAACAAAAGCAAAACATTTTATATTAAAGAAGCTCCAGGTTGGTGAGCAATTCAGGTTGTAGAGGGAATAGCAGATTACTGTAAGAAGGCAAAAGATTGCAAAAGAATCACTTCCAAACTCTTACCTCCTTGTGTTCAGTCAAAAACTATTATGTAAATACCATTACACATTAAATACTATTATGTAAAAACTGTACTGATACCAATCATATCCCCTGCTTTGAAATTCATCTTAAACTAGATCCCCAAACTTCATAAATATTGCACCTCTGACTTCCCCCATGAGGGACTGCAAAGACTGTCAAGATATTCTCCCTTATTGCAGTAAGCAAAAAACTCAGTTTTACTTTACCAACAGGTTATTTTGGAGGTATTTTAAAGGAGCCAGCATTGGATGTCTTGGAGGTCCTATCACAATCTGGTCAACTTGGAAACAGCGTGCTTTCTGAGGCCCTCTGAGTCTCCAGCACAGGGTCTCTCCAATGATGATGGGAAGGTGAGTTCATATTGAATTTGAGCTCTGATTTCTTATTTTTTCATCAAACATTCCAAATGTTAAGTTTAATTTTTTTAGTTTGGGAGTGGTATCTAGGAATAAGAAACACTCTATAAAAATCCAGATTGATCAAATTTGAAAATTTTTTATTTTTGGTAGAAATCTGCATTACTGCTGCCAGTACTTTTGTGTCTGTTTGTCCTTGTCATTTCTTCATTATTCGCCTGTAAGAGGAAGTTCATAGGGACTAAGATGGGTGTAAGCTAGTTTGCTCAGAGGACTTCTCTTCAGGCTGGCATCCTTTGGAAAAACTGTCTCAGGTCATTTATGAAAATCTTATCAAAACTTTACTCACTCTTATTTTGCCCATGAAGGTCTAGTTTGCTTTGAAGGGGGCATGAAATTAACTATTTTAGATCCCTTAAAATCACAATTTGAATATAACATCCTTTATTCTTCTATTCCACTGTCTCATCCTATGGTCCTTCATTTTTCTCTCTCTGTCTGTCCCAAGATAACAAGGTACACAAGGTTTGACTGGCTGTTGTCAGACTCATAGATTTATCTTTAGTCTAGTTCTGTACTCATTTTGGGCTGAACTTTAGTATCTTATATGTATTTATATTAGAATCAAAATGTGTCTTCTTAACTTTCTAAATGATATAAACATTATTTGGAATTATAGTGGTTACTTTTGATATGAACAAAATTGTTCTTTTGGGAGACACTGAAGCATAAAGGGGGCAATATCCAAAAATATACAATTGTCTACATTTTTAAACATTTTATTGACTTGAGAGGGAGAGAGGGAGAGAGAGAGAGAGAAAAACCATCAATTTGTTGTTCCATTTATTTATGCATTCCTTGGTTGCTTCCTGTATGTGCTCTGACTGGAGACTGAACCCACAACCTTGGTGTATCAAGACAACGTTCTAACCAACTTAGCTACCCAGCTAGGGCCTGTCTACATTTAAAGCAAGAAGAAACTTCCAAAATATATTCAAGGGTCTATGAAATTGCCTCCTTAAAAGATTCCTTGGCAAAGGCAAGAGAAAATTGTGAAAATTTTGAAATTAACTATTTTAGATCCCTTAAAATCACAATTTGAATATAACATCGTTTATTCTTCTATTCCACTGTCTCATCCTATTGTCCTTCATTTTTCTCTCTCTGTCTGTCCTTCTGACCTTTTCTCCTTTCCTCCAAAATACCTCATAAGGAGATGGTCTTGTAGGTCTAAAAGAGAAAGGTCTCTTTGTTTCACCTAAGAGGCACCACTCTCATTTCCATGCTTCAAGTATTTATAATAACTGCCTCCTGCACGCCCCCTACCGGTGATCAAGCCTGCAACCTGGGCTGACCTCAAACTCGCAACCTTTTAGTGCATAGGATGGTGCTCAACCAACTGAGACACACTGGCCAGGGCTCTAGTCTTTTTTCTTTAATAAACTGCCTTAAGCTGTCAGTTTTCTATCTTTTTATACATTATTCAGTTTTTGGTTTAATAAACTTGGACTTTTCACTTATTTTGTTTTTTACCTAAAATATGGTTGTCGGCAGTATAATTTTGGCTTTCAAAAGATGACTAGAGCATCCTTCTGGTTGCTAGAAGGGGTGCCGCCCCATTCATGAATCGCTTAATAAAGCCAATTAGATCTTGAAATTAAAAAAAATAAAAATAAAAAAGATGACTAGAATTATGTAAATATACTGTCTTAAGATTTTTCCTCTCTTTTCAGGTTTGATTAACATTTGAAAATACATTGTAATGTTTTTATATCAGACTTATAATAAAAAATATGAGCATATTTAGATCTTTAAGAAGAATTTAACCAAGGGATATGGGCAAGAACAAAACAAAAACATTAGCTTGTAGTAGCTATAAAACTGTGTGGTTTTCAAAGTAACAGACTTCTATATCAGTTGCATAATAGTAATTCTTTATTCATGAGGTCTTTATTTCCATGGAAACACTGAGATCACTTTAATATTTAATTACACTAGAGTTTACAGTTCCATAGATTTTAACTTTAGTAGTAAGCACAGAAGTTAGAGCTTTACCCATTTCCAGTTTAAAAAATATAAAGGAAGAAAAGGTAGTTTAAAGTGATCAAGAAGTTCGTGTAGCTGTAATTGATTATTTCTGATTTCATCTAAACCTGCATTGCAATTTCATATCCAGTTAGTTCTTCTATTTTTGTCTGTACCTTTTGGCTAAAAGTATTTTCACAGGAAGTAAATTATAATAGAAAACCGAGCAATGGATAAGTAGTTTGTGAGATATGTGAAACTGCTGTGAAATAATAGGAGCAGAGAACTAGTTCTGCCACTTTCTTAGCTGAGTAATATTGGGTGAGTCTCTTCATTTCACTGGCCCTCGAATTCTTCATCTGCAACCAGAGAGAGTGAGGGTGAGTGATAGAATGCAGTGGTTCTTTGAAATATCTTGCCTCTGTAGAGCCCGTGGCTTGTGGAAACTATCCCCTTGGGCCCCAGTGCTGATAATACTTCTAATGACATGGGAATCTGTCAACAGGGATTGGATGCAGACCAATAATAAAAAGCTATTAAAATGGATCAGTTTCTTCACGAAATGAGTCTGATGCAGATTTTATAGCTAGGAAATCTTTATTTTCTGTCTGTATCATTAAATTTCCTAATGTACTGTATAAGCTTTGCAGGTTCTGTTCCTATCTGATCATGGTAATTTTCAAAATGCAGAGGGCAGAGGGAAAGGAACTGACATCATTTGAATATCTACTATATATTATACATTGTATTTATACATAATTATCTCTCAAATCTTTATAGCAGTCCTATAAGCAGCAACTACTGTTCTTATTTTATAAAAGAAGTTGAGACTCAAAGAAGAAAATTCTGTCAAGTGCCATTCAACATTTGAAGATACAATGTGAAATACCACTTTAAACTTTTAGTGTGAATTGAGATTTAGCTTCTTTCCTTTTATATCTGCCAGCTGCTTTTATCAGTAGTTCCCTACCTGTTAGCTGAAACCCCTGTGGGGCTGTAGATTAATTAGAGGGGTCTGAGACTCTAACACAGTCTCTAACCAAATAAATAATATGACTTGCATGTATATATGTATTACTTTTCCAACTGCATAAATAAAAATATGCAGTGATTTTAAAGTATTACTAATTTCATGGCATTTTCTTTATTTTATTCAAAGAGTGCCTAAATCAAAGAAATGTTTTGATATATAGAAGAAACTTTTGGAAACCACTCATCTTAATAATTAGCTGTGATAGATTTTTTACTTTTGGTACTTTGTTTTCGGTTTTTCTATTTTGTGATTATAAGTTAGCTACTATCCCTGGCCTCAGTTTGTACAATTGTACAATAGCCGACGGTTAATTCAGTTAATTCTAACCCTAAAGTTCTAACCCAGCCATCCTCAGTTTTACTAACATTCTTGAACTAATCCATCATATTTGCATAAACCATCAAACTAGAGTAGAAGGAAGAGATTTATACTTTATCAGTGGTAGCAATAAATAATAGTGAATCATAACTTTTTTTACTTTCAGTTTTATTTTGTATTGGTTTCAGGTGTATAGCTTAGTGGTTAGATAATCATGTACTTTACATAGTGTTCCCCTTGATATTTCCAGTACCCCAACTGGCACCATACATAGTTATCACAATATTATTGGCTATATTCCTTATGCTTTACTTATATCCCCATGACTATTTTGTAAACACCAATCTGTACTACTTAATCCCTTCACCTCTTTCACCCTGTCTCCCACTCCCCTTCCCTCTGGCAACCACCAGTTCCCTCTCTGTGCCTATCTAGATCATAACATTTTTAAACCTAAAACATACCTTAAAAATCAGATCCTGTGCTTTAAAAAAAGAAACAGATGAGTGAATTCGGCTCAGAGGGGATAAAACATTCTCCCAGAGTCATATACTTAGTGTCAGATTTAGAGCTGTAACTCAGGTGTACTTGAAAAGGTTCAGTGCTTTACCCAGTAAATTATTTTTATTGTATTGAGTTACGTTTCTATCAGGAAACCAAAGATTAAACAGACAATTGATTGTCTGAAACATTTTAAAATGCTACTGAGCAAATTTAATTCAAAAAGTAATAAAAATTATTAAATTAATAAGCTCCCATTGAGGAACCTGAAAAAGAGAAAAAGTTATATTGAAAACCTTGTAATTTCTCTTCATTAAATATAACTTGAATCATATGCAGAGATACTTTTTAAAAACTGAACACTACATTGTATTTCTCCATTGCCTTAAAGTTCTTCAAAATTGTTATTTTTAATAATGCATAATATTGCATAATGTAGGCTTTTTACATGTTTATGCATTCTCCACATTTAGATATTTCCTATATTTTAATGCCAAATATTTTTTGTATAAAAATTATTCATTTTTACATCTCTGACTACTACATTTTTTGGTTTAGGTTTCTAGGCAAGGAATTACTACTTAAAGACCATAAGCATTTTCATACTCTTGACAATATAAAATTTCTTTCTATAAATTTATTATTGTTTTACTCTATCTCACAATAATTTTTGATTGTGTATCTCTCTGATCATGTCCTCATGAGAATTAAATATGATAATTTAAACTTTTCTAATTAGAAATATCTCGTTAAAATTAACATTTTTATTTGTGAGGTATTTTTCATAGATTTTTTTTGTTATGTGAAATATTTTTTTTCGCTAGCCCATTTTTATATTGCAATCTACTTAAAAAACTTTCTGTTGGTCTTCTGTCTTAACATTTCTATGGGATTGATTTTGTCTTTTCTTTATTGCTTGAGTAAGACCTAAGTACAGGGCGTCCCTAAAAATGTACACACACTTTAACAGCTGATACCCAATTTTTAAAAATGAAATATATTTTAATAAACACTGCCTTTATAATTATTCAAAGTGTGTGTATATGTTTTTGGGGGGGACACCCTATATTCTAGTTATAAAACATTCAATCTATATAGAAGTACACATAACAAATGA